TGTGATCATGGTATCGTGAATATCAACAATATAGCAAAATAGCGCAATATTGTATAGATTAAACATTTAGGACGAAATTCCCATAATTCAGTACATTCTAGAACTGCTTAATTACTAAAGAGTTTTAGTGTTTCTAGGTACAGTAATTGATAACGTCAGAAGCATTCCTTTTGTGTTTTTTATTCATATTTCTGTCTGTATATTGCTGAGACGACGTGCTGTCATGTGACATATCGATAACTGAGGTCTTTATTTTGGCTCGCGAATAATTCCAACAACCTTTTGAACTTGTTTCACAACATAGTCTAGCTTATAAACAACAGAATCCCATCGTGAACAACATATATAGAATGTTTCTCAAGACCACACAAACTAGTACCTAATTTGGTAGTTTTAGATTGACGTGGTACAAACGATCGTCTAGCAGTTCTCGGAACGAATCTCATGATTTGTTAAGAAACAATGAACAAGCTATACATGGTCTTCCAAAAAATAAAAAAATAAAGCAAAACGTAACATTATAATAGAAGTGCAGTACTAAGGGAGTAATCAAAAAGCTGTAGTTTCGAGTGGTACTACGTCTGGGTTCGAAACTGTGCTTTGAGTTTCCGTCAACACGTCACCGKTAATAAATTGCATCTGTTTTTCGCCCGTTGTGATCAACTGTTTAAAATAACTCGATTATTTGTTCGCCTGATCAAAAACTAGACTAGATTTTTTTTCAAATAAACCGTGGAGAAATACTTTGAGAATCTAACAGCATACTATGCCGTACAATACATTACTGCACAAACCATTTTAATATTTTTTACCAACCTTGCTATAACTACCGAAGTCAAAGCATTTTAACAATGTCTATTTTTTTCGTTTTTTTCAACAAATGTTATYCAAAATGTGACTTAAAGATCACATGGATTAAAACTCTAGTTCGTTTGTTAACCCCATTCCAGCTATCAACCCTTCAGGCAATGCGGGGTTTGGCAGGAATTCTATATTATATCACGTGGTGCAGAGATCTCTTTAGCAATTTCGATGACATATACGATGATACGCTTCGGCATGTTATTTTGCTATGTACACGACGTATTAAATGAAGTTGTTTTCCTTATACCTTATCAGCCCAAACTGATTATAACGCATCTTGTAGAGAGTTCGTAGATTGATATATAGATAGAGGTTAACTGAGCTCTAAAGTAAGACAAGATTTTAAGGGAGGCTTCATTTGGTATTTTTCAGAAGACCGGATGCACGAGGAGTGGATAATATCCATGTAAAGGATTAAGAATGCCGCTAAAGACACATTTTTTAATCCACACGCAGTCAATTCTGGCTAATAAATTTGTCACGAAAACAACACAATGGGAACCCTTAAGGCTGATTTACACGGTACGATTTGTCGCGTACGACTTGTAGTATACGATTTTCCTACTACAAGTCGTAGGATTTTAAGCAGTGGTTCAAAATCCTACTACAAGTCTTAGGTTGCGTACGACTGTTGTAGACAAGTCGTGGGGGCATTTACACTGCGCGATTCAAGTCGTATACTACAAATCGCACGAGACAATCGTGCCGTGTAAATCAGCCTTTAGAGACAGGCGAGGAACATATACATCCTTGTCGGGGATGACAGTTAGTCATGTCTAACCAAAACTCATGTTAGCAGACGTTTYTAATATTTGATACACGAGAATGCACTCATTCAGCACCTGTTTTTGAACTGATAACTAATTGCTGCGCGGTTTAAAGCACCTGACCCTTCCCTCCTCAGTACCGGCAATGGACAGCATGCCATTAATTTATTAATGACCTTGTAATAACGAGGTTGTTAAACATGCGAAATATGWAGTTTCTTTCAAGAGAACACTGGTTTAGTTGGTGTTAGTAGGAATTATCATAAATAATTTGTCAATAACATGCGCCAATGAAATGAGGACTGAAAAGCTATGATAAATGAAATTATATCAAACAGAGTTGATCAAGAACAGTCGAACACAATGTGGCGTAGTTGTACRAGATAAAAAAGTCTTCAAGAAATCTTAATCATGAGGGAAGGTTAAGCACTTGAGACAGTCGACAAGATACGTCCCGCTTTACTCATTCCATTGAACCATCTTTACAGCATCTCTATATTACGGCCATTTTTGGTGAATCAACTAATAACTCACACACCCCAGCAAAGACCGCTGTATGTTATTTGTAGGAATAACTCTACACCACGGACAACTTTGTAATAGGGACATTTTCCTGTGGCCGTTCGGTGTCTGTCTAATAGTATCAATACACTACATAAATTTACCAAAAAAAATCATTCCTTTATTCAATTCTCAAGTTGTTTATTTTTTTATTCAGGTACTGACCTCCGTGTCTGCATGCCGGGGTTGCAATGATTCCTTGGATTATCAGAATGTTCATAGTCAACGAGGTTGTCGAGATGATGAAGAATATTACCATTAGTAGCTTCAACTTACAGCTSCCGTAAAAGCGATGTTTACACTCTACACTCTCTCGACTCGGARGCGGGAACGCATCTATTTTTGGTAGATCTTTCGGCGGAGGAATAAGTCCGTTGTTCCAGTGAATTGCTCTGATAACCGGCCGCGGTTTTCTATCGAGAGAATCGTAATGATTCATTTCCAGCGCGCMGAAGTTGACCTCTCCAATGTCTTCGTATTGATTTCCYGCTTCAATTCGGTTCGATCGTTTGAGATCTTGGTAATGTGGCATTGGGGTGGTTTTTTCGTTATTAGACATGGTGGTATGATCTCGATTTGGTTTTCGGCTCACTTGGTCTTTTGCGCCTCTATCTGAGGTTGTTRTACACTGTGCCTTCCATTTATAAATCACCCGATCATACGACATTACCTATAATAATAATGTCAGCCAATCAGGATCAAGACAATAGACCACGTGGTTAACTTTTCACGTGGTTAACTTTTCAACTGGACATGGATCTTTTATTTCATGGCGCGACTGGTTGAAATGTGACATTTTACAATGATGTTATCCTTTCACTGTTAACTTTTACACTCACATTAAACACCCTTTTTARTGTCAAACCTCCATATGTTCTCGTGTTTGATAAAGGGAGCCTACGGAATTAARCGTAACGCTGACCCTGAACTGTAATTTAAAATGGCAGTATGTTTGTGTGTGAATGCTTGCCATCGGCGTAGCTCGTCCATTACCGCGTTGTGTAACCGTTCTTTGCTTGATAATTGTGTTATTCAGTCTTGAAATTATACCAGAATTGAACACCTTGCTCAATGTAAGATGAAAGATAAAAACGCTTTTTGATTGTATTTATTGCAAATAAAATTGGATAAAATGAATCAGTACTTTATCTCGATTGCGTGGTGTGGTGATTGTCCGCATTCTGTAGCTGAGCACGCATAAACAGCGTGCCAAGATGACAGTGGGCCGTATCACTTTACGTCGGACTATACGGACACATGACCTAGCTGTCAAAAGTAACCTGTTACTCTTTGAATGTCGAGATATTCGCTTCTTATAAACTCTGTTAGTTTCAAAGGTGTGTAAAATACAACAAGAACAACCTGTGAAGAAAGAATATTGATTGTGAAGAAAGAATATTGATGCAGTTTCTGCGGCACATACGGAAATCATAAATAAGACTTTATTAACGTCTCAAATCACCCTAACCAGACAGCAAGTTTCCTACTAAATGGGAAGAGCAACCACACACACTTTACCTCTATACTGACTGTTTTTTAGCATACAGAACTCGTTTAACATTCCTATATTGGTTGTTAGATAAGTTACATGTTTGCATTTGACCCGCCGTATTTTTCCGGGAGCGCACTCTCAAAAAACCCTCCTGACGAAGTCTCGTGATGCGGGCCGCACGGATTTCCTCTAAGCGGGCCGTACAAAAACCCTTACAGGCACATTCGTGCGGTCCCAATGAACCTCTCTSTCGCCATAGGGGCTCGCGCCCTGTCGATCTTTCAATTTTTCACCGGTGTTTTTGTTAAATTTCTGGCTTGTTAAATCTTGTCGCAACGAAGCGCGCCTTAATGAGTTATGTTTGACCGTACGGGAAAAGATTTGGCGATATAGCTCATTTGTACAGTTCTCGCTGCTCTTGGGCCGTACGGCATGGCCTCAATCCAAACAATTCCCCTCGCAGCCCTCAAACTTCTGGAACATTCCTTAAATTAAATTTGGCACGGGTAGCTCAATACTGAGATTTGTAAACAAAACATTCAACCGACCGGAGGAAGTCTCTCACTGGTTTCATCTGTCGGCACGACCAGAACGAGTTGAAAACTATGCCAAACTTCAAACCAGACAGGTTTACCAATCCACACTCGGCATGACAAGTCAAATACGCAAGTCAAAGATTGACTCCAAATCAACATTTGGAGCATTCATTGTACTCTAATGTATATCGACTACATATCGAGTCGCTATATGACATCAAGTTAGTACTACAAATAAACGCTTCGAAGTTTGTTTTATTAAATATAATTATATGCTCAGTATTATTACATATCTAGTACCGTTGTCACGTTGGCTGTAGCTGTTCTGTTTCAGTTTTGGCTAATSATCAAACCCATAACAGCAAGTTTTCTTGTGAGTGAGGATTCCATGGAAACAAGCTTTTGGGATTTCTTGCAAGATTGGGGCTCATGTATACTTTTTGGAAGAAAAAAACTAAAAAAAAAAAAAAAAAACAAAAATAAAAGAGAAAAAGAAAACTAAAAAAATATGAATAAATATATATAAAAAAACGCTGTTTGACCCATAGATGAACTGAGAAGATATCTCGTGGTAATGTTGTGCTTCGATTCATGTGCCACAAAGTTCTTGGATTCTCACGAAAATAACAATTTGTGGCTTCTCCCTGAATGCCTGCCTCCCTATAACGTCTTGCAAAAGCGATATCAGTTCTTTATCTTTGATGAATCTTAGTTCAAAATACGAATTTAACATTCAAACCAGTGAGCAGTTTTTCTTTGTGTGTGTGTGTTATTTTTGTTGCATGTACTTGAGCATATGAACAAAACCAGCTCGACAAAGAGAGCTAAGCTAATATAGTTTCCCCTGGAGAAATTGTCAGAGAAAAGATGATGAAGGCACCTAAAGACACGTTTCATTGCTAGTCAG